TCTTCCTCACCATCATCATCACAATCTTTACCATCATCTTCATCATCTTTTTAATCATTATCATCATCTTCTTCCTCACCATCATCATCACAATCTTCACCATCATCTTCATCATCGTCATCTTCACCATCCTCATCCTAGCAGGTATTTACAGACAGCCACGTAATGTATAGATACCCCTATGATAACCAGGGTGTGCCAGATTGCGTGTGCAAATGGTATGATGCCGTCACTCTTGAAGAAAAATACCCCAAGGAAATACGCCATACCCCCTGCGGTTAACTCTTTTACACCGGATGGCTCTTTCTGTGTGTGTGTGCGTGTGTTTGGATGTGTGTGTGTTTGGATGTGTGTGTGCGCTTGGATGTGTGTGTGTGTTTGGATGTGTGTGTGTGCTTGGATGTGTGTGTGTGTTTGGATGTGTTTGTTTAGATGTGTATGTGTGTGTGTGTTTGGATGTGTTTGTTTGGATGTGTATGTGTGTGTGTGTGTGTGTGTGTGTGTGTGTGTGTGTGTGTGTGTGTGGTGTGTTGAATGTATTATAGATTAACTAGCTTGATAAAATTTAAAAAATTTGGAAATTTAATGATATTTGGAGATTTTTTATTACTGCTACTACTACTACCATTACTACTACTACTAATACTACTACTACTACTACAACTACTAGTTGTAGTAGTAGTAGCTACTACTACTACAACTAGTAGTAGTAGTAATAAGAACAATAATAATAAAACTCACCATCTCGATAATGATTATCGATGGAATGGTCGCGATGAATATGTACAACAACGTTTCCAACCATTTGCATCTTAGGTGATAGTAAAAATAATAATTATAACTATAATTATAACTATAATTATAAGTATAATTATAACTATAATTATAACTATAACCATATTTATTACTATAATTAAAACTATAATTATTTTTATTATCTAATCGTGTTGTCAGTTGATCATCCAACCAATTAATTATTATTGAATCAATCAGTTGACCAAACTAACAACATCAGACAGTCAGTCAATTATATAAGTATGGTTAATAATAATAAAAATAATGATAATAATAATAAAAATAATAATAATAATAATTATTATTTTTATTATTATTATAATTCCGCACTTTTCATGATACTTGTATTGGTAGTACACACCAAGTATGGCTCCGAACCAGACGAACCACAGAGTCTGCGTGCCGTATCTATGAAACTCTTTTAACGCTAGCCTGTTCGATCAATCGATCAATCGATCAATCAATCAATCGATCAATCAATAAATCAATCAATCAATCAATCAATCAATCAATCAATCAATCAATCAATCAATCAATCAATCAATCAATCAATCAATCAATCAATCAATCAATCAATCAATCAATCAATCAATCAATCAATCAATCAATCAATCAATCAATCAATCAATCAATCAATCAATCAATCAATCAATCAATCAATCAATCAATCAATCAATCAATCAATCAATCAATCAATCAATCAATCAATCAATCAATCAATCAATCAACCAACCAAGGTGTATATGACGCAGCGATGAAAATATAAATAGCCACTCGATCGCCGATATGGAAAAAACTTTTTAGCTGCCTGTTTATATTAGTAGTAGTCGTAGTAGTGGCAGTTGGTAGTAGTAGTAGTAGTAGTCGTAGTAGTAGTCGTAGTAGTAGTAGTAGTAGTAGTCGTAGTAGTAGTAGTAGTTGGTAGTAGTAGTTGGTAGTAGTAGTTGTAGTAGTAGTTGTCGAAGTTGTGGTAGTAGCAGCAGCAATAATGATTGTAATAACACTACTATTGTAACCATAATCACCATCTTTAGTATTATGATCATCATCATCGTCGTCATCATCATCATCCCCATCATCATCGTCATTACCTAAGTTTGCCGCAATAAGCAACGGTATGGAAAGCCGTCGAGAGCATAAACAACAAAAGTATGGAACACCCATATACAGTGACAGCGATTTGTTGCGAGTTTGTTGTCGAGAAGCGCAACATCAGCCACAGGCCGATGGCGCTCGGTGGGATCCACAGCTAGTCAGAGTGTAAATGTTTTTATTATTGGCATTATTATTATTACTACTGCTGCTGCTGCTGTTGAAGCAACTGCTGCTTCTTCTACTACTACTGCTGTTTCTACTACTGCTGCTGCTTCTAATACTACTACTGCTGCTACTACTACTACTTTTACTACTACTAATACTACTGCTGCTGCTACTGCTGCTACTACTGCTGCTACCACTACTGCTGCTGCTTTTACTACTACTGCTTCTACTACTATTGCTGCTTTTACTACTACTGCTGCTGCTACTACTGCTGCTTCTACTACTACTGCTGCTGCTACTACTGTTGCTACTTCTACTACTGCTGCTGCTACTACTGCTGCTTCTACTACTACTGCTGCTTCTACTACTACTGCTGCTACTACTACAACTGCTGCTACTACTACTACTACTACTACTACTACTGCTGCTGCTACTGCTACTACTAGCGTCAGCGACTCACGGCGTGCGTTATAACGTTAGCCATC